GGAGAAATGGTGGTGGAAAACCCTTTGTCCAGGGTGGGACACACACACACACACATATATATATATATACTGTAATTAACTCCCCCCAGGCCAAAAAACCATGGCTTTACCGATGCGCATGACGTATGGGGCATGTTCTTTGTCAATATAGACGATCTACTGGCGAACTTGCCACGGTCTACACGTCCCCTTGAGTGATTCTGGACCGAGGTTTGAGTGGTTCAAAAGCACCAACAACCCAGATTTCCAATCACACACCGTTTTGGGCACATCTATGGTGGGGTTCAATTTGTCTCCAAAGCATGCCAAGGCACTTTGAAAGGTCTATTTGCTAAGCAAACAGGGGCTTGTGATTTGTGATTGATTGGAATGATTGGAGTGTTGTTACTTACCTGCTGAAAGTGAACACCGCATTCATAATCTCATGAGCGTGTGTCTCTCCAAATAGGAACAGTGACAAAATCAGCTAAACATATAGGGTAAACCTTCACCAGGAGGTTCCATTTCAAGAGGTTCCGATGTTCCAACATGCCGACCTCAGTGTGGTGAGACCACGCAATCTCCACTTTTTTCAGGGAGTGGACTTGAATCTGGATCAGTTCGATCTCTCTACACCCGAACGATTTGCGAGCAATGCACCCAGCTGCAGTGCATCTTTGGATTCCGTGGAGGCTGGGGCGGCGGGGTTGAAGTGAGCATGACAGAGTTTTGAGGGAATTTGCAGCAGAACTGTTGAACTGCAAAGTCTCTGGGTCATGAAACGTCGCAATAAGCGTATGTCGCTGGTGACTTTCCGCATGTTGCAGAGAGTCTGCAGAGAGTGTGCAGAGACGTCAGGCACGCGTGCCCTTGGGCCTTGCCTTCTTGCAGGGGCTGAGACGTTCGGCGACCTTTCGAGCGGAGGACAAGCAGCTCTTGAGCAATCTCTACAAGGCAGGACACAGAACGAAGAAAGCGAACAACGGAGAAGATCTGAAGAGCTTGGTGATTTCAAGAGCTTCTGACCCTGAACCAACTCCTTCTGTGATGAACACACCCCAAAATGACGCGACCATCTCAGAGACGGTCATGAACCATGACCTCTCCATGGTCTCGTGATGTCTCGTGTGGCAACCTGCATTTTTCTTCGCGTTTTCGTGATGACCGGACCATATGCAGCTGGTTCTCACGCTAGGACCAGCTCTCAGATCGCCTACTCGAGGGTGATGCCTTCGTGCCACCGGATCCAGCTCCTTGCGACAAGCGCGCTAAGCGCAGCGCTTGCGCGACAGATGGTACCGGTCTGAACGGTCTAAAGCTCGGTCGAAGTCAATACGAGATACTAGAGACATACAAGACATACTGACATACACGACTGGTACCAGACTCGTATACTTGATACTAACGTTAGTAAGTTCATACACGACTTTTTGATACTTTTGTCGGCTTGCCCCGCAAGCGAGTGATACTTTGGTAGAGGTAGGGTGACCAGATTTGATCAGAATTGCAGTGAAATGACGTGTTTTGACCATGGTATACTGAGGATCTGAAGTATGTGTCAAAGCTGCGAGCTTTGGTTTGTGAGGAGGACTAGAGAAAAAGACTGGCAGTCTCTGGCAGTGGTGTTTCCATTTTGTTCATCCGTCTTCCTGCAACAATGAAACAAACACCGAGCACAGAAGCTCTCTGTGTTGTTTCCGAACCTCCATTCGCCCCGCAAAACACACCGGATTCGCATAAGCTCCGCAAAAGCGCCGTGTCCTTCACTACGCCAGTCGCAGGATCTGCTACGCCAGAAGCGCAAGGCGCTCTTCTGCGACGCGGCCTTCATCCCCGAGGATCCCGGCAGCGCCTTTCCGAGATCGTGGACCTCCAACTTCCAGTTGCACCAGGAGGTGCCGATGTCGGATGAGACCGGGAGACCGGATGCGACCCCCGGCCAAAGGAGCTGCCCTGGAATTGGAGGATTTGGTTTTCTTGGGTGAGACCACAGTATATAGCAAGGCTGACTGCGATTGCTCGCGCTTTCCTTCGCACTTTTGCACACACACACAAAATGTATCCGTATGGCATAGATTGATGGGAAAATGGCAACTCAAAGACGCCACAAGATCAACCCTTGACCCTGTTTTTTTGTTTGTACATCACTTTTCCCTCGAGCCATCCAGGTTTTCCATGTCATCGCCGGCCCGCGCCATCCCTCCCTCCCTCCCATCTGCACAGGGCCTGTCGACTGGACTGGTGAAGAAAGCCTTGAAATCCGGCCTGGTACAGCTGACCAGCAACGTGGAGTTCCAAAGACTGGTGGCCAAGGACTGTGAACATGGGTTTTGGTACTCCACCGAGCCTTGGGTGCTCGATCCAGTGGAGAAAGGGGGGGGGGTGTTGGTTCAAGTGCCTTTGAAGATCCACCCCTTTTCGCACCAGAAATCATGCGATTGATCCGTGATCCGTCCTCCAACCCCATCCATCCCAACGCCTGACCCCCCCGGTTGGTTCGCTTCTGAACCGCTTCTTTTGGGGACCTCGGGTCCGCGCGGTCAGGAGGTCTTGCCGGACACGGCGCCGGTCTTTGAGAAGAGCGCCGAGGATGGGACCGTCTTCCGCATCTACCGCTTTGGCACGTTGGAGGTGCGCACCATGCAGGAGCGGGGGGGGCCGCGGAGCCGGTGGACGCGGGAGCGAGCGCCGCGGGAAGTGGCGCCTTTCTTCGCGGTGCGGGTGGGGCTTGGGTCGAGAGGGGGTGGTGGAAAGTGTCGGAGGGCTTTCAAATGATCAACATGTCGAATGACATCATTGAAAGGGGGCCGATCCCTGAAAGAAAGACTCATTCTCCATGGTCTTTTTTCTTCAAACACATGCGATCTGAGCAGTGTCACTGTCCGCATTTGTCCACTCGAGCCCACAACCTTCAGCTCTGGTGGAGCTCTGTCCGCATCTCCAGGAGTCCACGGGGAACGAAAACGTCATGGCGATGTTTTCCATGCGCCCCACGTCTTGGACAGCCAAGAAGGGCGGCAAGGAGGCAGTGTCACGCGTGAGGGGGGGGTTTTCAGGAAACGGCGAAAAAATAGAAACGCACTCCCAAATGCAGGAGTTCCTTTTTCGGAACACCCCAAGATCCGCTTTGAGACAGCACTGATTTGGAACCCATGATTTAGAGATCGTTCTTATTTGGGATCCCTACAAATCTATACAAATCTCAATGCTTTTGGGTTGTCGGTTCTTCATTTTTCCGCAAAGAGGAAGCCAGAGGTGTGTAGAAAGACACCGGTCATGCTTGTCGCCTCTGTCGCTAGGCGGCAGACAGCGAGAAAGTTGTCCAGGCGAAGATGTGCCTGGTCAGAGAAGGTCCAGACGGCAGAAGAACCGGTCCGGTGAATTCGGAGCTCGTCGTCACGGTCTGGCCTCGTTTCAAAACGGTCTTTTGTATGGTCCAATGGGTTCTAGATTCTAGATTCTAGGATGTTCTTGGTTTGGTATCAATTTTGCTGGAATGGCTTGGTAGGATTCGGAATCGGTTCGTCGTCCAAGGTATGTTGAGGCGGTTGACACGATTGGGAACCTGACACGGTTTTGAACTCAGTCGCACGTCACACGGGAGTCAGTCGCCGCTCCGCTCCAGAAAAGAGAACTGGAGCCGAGCAGCTGCGCAGAAACGGAAGGTACATCTTAAGGCTGGCATTGGACTTTTTTTCCTTCAGACCTTTAGACCCTTCTTTCTTTTCTTTTCCTTTCTTTTCCTTTCTTTCTTTCTTTCTTTCTTCCTTTCTTTTCCTTTCTTTTCCTTTCTTTTCCTTTCTTTCTTTAGACTTACCCAACGATGTGTGGAGCCTAGTGGAGCATGGCGCAGTGGAGTGGGAAGCCATGGCTTATGCCGCACTTGGCGTCATCCGCCATCAGTCCGGAAGGATTCGGAAAGGGGATTTGAGCCTTCCCATCTCAAACGGCCCCCCCCCCCTCTGATCTCTTCATTCAGTGTGAAAGCTTCAAGAGACTGCCGCTCCGAAAGCTTCAGTCCGGTTTGGGCCGACCATGGCCGATCATGAAGATTTCTGTGCTAAGTGGTCTCCCAGTGCCAAGCAATTCCTGGATGGAACGTTCTTCCTGGCCGATCATGCCGGGAAGAGCTCATCGATGCGTAACAGATCGAATGGCAACAGATCGCGCGCGCGATTCTGCTCTTGAGATCCTCAACACCAATTTCAAATCCTCAATCAATGTGCTGAGGCACAAAAATCCAAAGCCGGCTCACACAAGCATTGCAGCATTGCAGAGTTTTCCCTGGCTAATCGTCACAGTCGCGACTGATAGGCCCTGATAGGCTAATCGTCGCGACTTCACGCGCGTCCGCGACATCACACCCCACCCGCCGTCGTCGTCAGACTCGTCAGACTCAGGTCGATCCAGGGCAGCGCAGCTGAGCCCAAAGAGGAGCTTGATGCTCCCTGGCGCAGCCAAAAGATGGTCCGGGGGCTCAGGTGCCGAAAGACAGCGTCACAGTGCGGGAAAGATGGTACGAAGCAAACTGATCGGTGGAGACACCAACAAGCGTTGAAATTCTCTCTTGAAGCTTTAAAACTTCAGCCGTAGCCACCTGACTTTGGCAGCAACTGCAACTTGCAGCTCGTTTAGCTTCTCTCTCAGGATCACTGCCACTACTTCTTGGTCCTCGAGACAGACCAGGGCACCACTCTAATCACTGAGAAGCTCAGTGATGGGTCTGTGCAGATGCTGGTGGCACCAGATACTTGGACTTTGAGAAACTTGTGAGACCCAGGACTCATTCGAAACAGGCGATCGCCCAAACAGCTGGGTGATACCTTTTTCTTGCATGCGATGATGGCAAGGGGCCGATGCGACGAAGGATTCCACGCGGATGGGGCCGCGTTTCTTCAGTCCAGTGACCCCCCCCCCGGTGCGTGCCTTCCGCAGCGAGCGAGGAGAACGCGGAGGAGCGTATTTCCCTGGCCAGACTCCTCTACACACATCAGAGCAAGGACTGGAACCGTTACCTGCCGATTCTTAGAGCCAAGAAGAGGTCCGATTCTTTAGAGGTGGCCGTATACGTGCCATTCCGAGGTCCATAGATTGAGAGAGAGAGAGAGAGAGTGAGAGACAGATACCATGAGAAGCCGTTGATCCTACTTGTTTGAGGGGATCCATTTCATGAATCCTGTTTGACCATCGATCTTGTCAGCAGTGACAGGGCCGGGTCATGGAAGGCGATCGAAGCCCAACGAATGACTCCGAAGAATCGAAAAGACGCCATCCGGAGGGTGACTTACAAGATCATGATCAGGGCTTTCTTCCTCTTCGCGACGCGTTTGACTTGTTGGAAGGGTGAAAACATGTGAAAACCCGTCTCTGACTTGTGACACTTGTGACTAGTGGTGACTCCCACCTACCTCGACCTCTACCTCCTCTCCTCTCGAGGAGAAGACGGTGAGCATGCGGGAAGTGAAAGTCTTCCAGGCGCAAAGTGCCCGGTGCACGGCCCAGGGTGCCACGGCCTCCGCACGGAAGCTCTACGCCGCTGGGGCCGCCAGCGAGAAGCGGTCCGTCGCGCCGATCCGGTCTACGTCCGGGTCGGAAACGTCGTCCGTCGACCGTCGTTCCGCTGAGGTCCAGTCCGAACATCGAGGTCAGATTGTTCATGTCTTCCGACATCTCTTAGGATACATGAGTGCATCTTGAACGAAACAAGCTTCGTCCATGAAATTTGAGGTTCTTCTTCTCCCTACACGAGAGGAAGTTCATTTCGAGGATCATGTTGATCATTCTGTCTTCGCTGTTGTTTTTCTTGCCAAGTTGCTGGGAGCGAGTCCAACGGTTGAATTAGGTTCAACTGCGTCAAAACCGGCATGGTACATCATGGTACCTTGTTGTCAAGATGTCGGACGGTGAAATGAGGTGGGAAATCTCTTCAAGTTGGCCTCTGGCAAGGCTGGCTCTTCTCGATTTCTTTCGCTCGCTGGCCTGCGGCTGACCTGAAAATTCCGACCGGTGAGGCCTTCTTGGTGCGCAAGTCCAAGGGAGCAGGTGCAGCTTTTCGTTGGCGACCATCGACCGGAAGACATGGATCTTCATGATTTTGCTCGATGCTGTTGCTCCGGATTGCAGGGTTTTGCATGGGTTTTGCAAGATGTTCGCATGCCTTTTTTCGCAGGCTCACGTACTATGCATGGCCACACGTTTGGATGCAGAAATCATGTTGCTGTTTCCAGGCAAAGGAAGGTCAAAGGAGCCACTGCGGGCATGGGACTGAGTGTTTCCGGACTTGAGAGCCTCCCAGTGAGCGAACGGAAAACCGGAAAGCCTGCGTGCATTTGTACAAGATATTGCTACCGAGGGACAGGTATGTACAACAGGTACGCTTTTGGTCGACCGGGCCGACTAGGCTACTGGTACATCCTTTCGATGAGGTGCCACACGCCGTACCTGCGATGGAAAGGCCCGGCCCACCGCCGATCAGGTCGACAGGTCAGCGTCGGGTTCGCGAACGGTACAAACACATGCAGGGTATGAAGATTCGTACGTATAACTTACACCACACCATTGTGCCGTGGTTGCTTGTTGGGCTTCTTCTTGACTGGTGACTTAGCCATTAGATGCCATTAGCTAGTACTGTACAGTGCTTGCCCAATCTAAACCACTGAACGCCCAGTGAGATGGCCTCCACATCGCATGAATGGGTCTTATTAGCAGCAAGAAAGGTAATCTTGGTCCCGTCTTGCTCCTTTCATGTTGGGATGTCCAGCCTTTGCTGGCTTTGCCTCTAGTGCAGCAATCACATCATACATCGGCCTCTAGTGCAGCAATCACATCATAGATCGTAAGAAAGGATGGCATCCTGCAGTGTCTTGCACCAACACCCCAAGCAGATGACTTGCGAGAATTGGAAGAGCCACCAGCCGACTGCCCACAAAGGCACTGGACACTGGGGAAGAATGACACATTGCAGATTGATATAGTTCCTTAACTGCCAGGCGCACCTACAGCAGCAAGGTCAAGTATGATGCTCACTGAAGAGTCTTGGCAAAATGACTTTTTTTTTATCCTGCCCTTGGGCTCGTTGCAAGCCCTTCCTACTTTTTCGGCACCTCTGGTGCCCTAGTTTGTTTGAAAGGATACGAGTGTCCAGTCGTTGCCCTGACACTGAGCCAAGCGTTCCCCTCAGCAAAGCCAGATTGTTGTGTTAACAGACAGCGCTTCGGTAGCGAAATCAGGTCGGTAGCTGAGAGAGCTCCTGAGAGTGGAGAGCGAAATCGAAATGGAGAGCCTGTGATCGTTCGTGGCTTCTAAAGTCTAAAGCTGAACCAAAGCTGCCTGAACCAAAGCTGTCTGGAACGACACAGAGCTGTTTGATGCTGCCCTGGTGGCAGATCTTCCATCACCATCATGCACGATTGCTCAGTATTCAAGGGAAACATGTATATCCAACTCCGCCCAAAGCCTGCAACTTTCTACTCTCAATGTCTACTCTCAATGTCCAGCAGAATGAATGTGGTGCATGGAGAGTGGTGATTCTTTTGTCAACCGTTCAAGCTAGATTAGCTTGCTTCGGTGACACAGAATGCTGGGTCTTCCTTGCGGCCGGGATCGAAAATAGACAGAGCTTCCAAAAACTGCCCAATCCGCATGTCATGGAGCAGAATCCATCGAGATTGTTGCATGAAGCCACTGTGAGATTGGAAGTGCTTTTCCATCAAGTAGGTCATCTAGAGATCGCAGGTGTTGCATATGCTGACATTCAAGATCCCATCAGGGATTCACATGTCCAGCTTTGTGCGAGGGTTTGATTGCCTATGCAAACTATGCCCAGCAGAGTTGCGCCACTCAGGGGCGGCAGCATGTTTCCATGTGGCATTGTTCAAGTATCCATTTGGATGGTATTTTGTTCTGCTTGGGACGTATGGGCACCCAAAGATTGACCAGTTGAGGCATGAAAGGAGTTGCAGAACGAGCTGGAGGGGCCATTGGTGGTCACATGGGATTCGCGATGCAGGCAGAGACTGAGACCTCATGAGCTTAAGCTTTCAAATCGCAAAGAGCTTTCGATCTGGCCAAGTAGTCAAAGCGAAATCAGTTAGCAGCTCTACTCGCATGTTCCAGCTGATATTTGCAACTCTGTGAAGAGATATGTGAACAGGCTGCAACCATAAGCACGCAAGCGCACCTTGGCAAATCTCAGAAAGCGGACTCCGTCCACTCAGATTCGATGAATCATTGTAGCTGAATCGGTTTTACTTTGCCCATGTGTTCCATCGAAAAGCCAAGGTGGATCACTTTCTTCGTCTTGCTCATTTTGGGTGGGCTGCTGATGGCCGTTGGCCCCAGAAACACGATCAACCGAAGGAGTCGGTCCGCGCCGTTGCCGTTGAGGCCTATTGACCACCATCCTTGCAGCATGTTCAGAGTCCTGTTGCTTTTGAATGTTCTCAAGCTACTCCACATTTCCTTTCCCTTTTCTTCTCAAAGTATAACACCAGTTGTCAACCTTCTCAAACCATGCGAAGATCCGCGAAGTGGGGGTGGCCGTGTGGGGAGTGAAGGGGTCAGTTCAGACAGTTCACCGGGTGTTGGGGGAGTCCCAACATATGCCCATGCTGTGTGTGTGGAACACCAGGCAGCTTCCTTTGCTTCGCTGCCCATGTTGCTTCTCGCACCTCAAAAGCTCCTTGGCGGTGCGAGACACAGCGAGGACGCGCGACACAGAGCGAGGACGAAGCGCCGCGGCTTTCTACGGGACATCCATAGGTGTCGGGGTGAAAACAATGGTTTCCTACAGATTTTCCCTGTAGCCATCCATTGAGAATGCCAAGTTCTTGTAGTTCACTAGTTTGGAGATACGATGTGCTGTGCCATCAGGTTTGCCTTTGTGTTCACCACGGGCTCTGCCTGCATACTTGGAGCGCTGTGCTCCCTCAAGGCTGGCCCCGCGTTTTGCTGATTCAAGCTTTGCTTTGCCTTTCAGGACCTCGTACTTAAATCATTTGCACCCTATAGCGCACATAGACACATATGCTGCCACCCCATGTACCCAACTACCTTCTTGGCGTGTAGTGTCATGACGCCGCGCCCGGACAATTGTAGCACAAATGCAGTCTAACCGTCTAACCCCTTTGTGTTTGATTCATTCTCAACAACCTTCAAGAACAATGTGATTGCTAAGCAAAACTTGTTTCAAGGTTGTTGATTGTTCAAAATTCTCCGACAGGACTTGTCAAAAAGCGAGTAAAGGTTCATATCGATTCACATGATACATGCTTTCTTTCGGGCAACTTTCTGCCTGCCCAAAGTAAGTCGCCTGCCCAAAGTCAACCGAGCAGATATGGATACTTTTGGATGAATTGTTTTGTCAAGTTTTGTCAAGATAATGTGTATATATATTATATAACCAATAGGGTCTTCCATGAAGGGATTGTAGTCGCTGGTAGATATTCATGTGGAATAGGGGCTTTGTGCTACCAGAACAGATTTGCAACAAGTTATGAGAATAGTATTGTACCGAGAAGATTAAGAGAAAAGAGCCAAAGCACACATCTCAATGAACAAGAATTTGGAATGGAATGACTATATAAGTCTTTTAAGTGTATATACTCCAATCTCTTTCTTTTTGACCAATAGAATCTCTATGAATCCCTTGCGAAGGGTTTCTTGTGTCAAAGAGGTGTTTTGCATGAGAAAGGAAAGACAATGTAATGGAGTAAGGAGGCATTGATTGGATTCTGATTTATACCCTGGTATTTGGCAGTGTTTGAAGTTTCTTGCATAGATCCTTTGCTTTCAGTTGTGGTTTTACAAGTGAACGTTGGTATGATGACAATACAAACATGTGAGAGTTGTGAGTGAGAAAGTGGCAGAAACGCATTTCGGATCTTTTGCCTGTGCAACCTGTCACAGTAGGGGACATCAACAAGTGAAGCGTTACCATACATGAATGGCAAAGAGCTGGCTTAGTAAGCGGTGAGTGGCTGTGGTATGCTGGCACCAGAGCAAGGAGTTTGAAACAAAACCGGTAAGTCTATACAAATATGGGAACCAGCTTTTAAAGATACATGTGAGGAATACACGGGCAAAATAGAGTGTTTAACACATGTTCATTGGTGCTGTTGCAATCGCATTACTAAAGCTAAGAAGGTCACAACAAACTTCACGACACAAAGGTTGACAATGAGCTATCCATTCAAACGATATACTGTATGTGAAACTCGGTGTGCTGATTATGCAACTCATTGCAACGCATTGCAATGGGATTCAAGATTCAACAGAATCCATGATTTAAGATGCATGTTGGTCAGGAGTCAGGATTTTCATAAATTCTTTCCTGAAATCTTGAATCGTTGCAATGGGACCCAGATACCAAATGCTCTAAGTATTTCTGTGTCGTTGTGGCACATGTTTCATTTGCATGTACATGTGTGTGTATATATATATATATACATATATACATGGTACCCCCAAGAACAAACAACATGCAGCCCTCAAATCCTACCCCGAACAACGTTCAGAAAGGACGGCAAGTACCATTTAAAGACCACTCAAAGGTAGGTACCATATACTGTAAGTATATATATATATTATATTATATATTATATATATATTATATATATATATGTGCCTTATGTGCCTGGCCTCCCAGGGCATGCAGGCCTTCCTGGCCCACTTGACCACACCAGAGCGGCGGCCTCTCTCGATCGGGCCGGAACCCCAAGGTTTTGAGACAGATCTGGTTTTACTACGAACGGAACAAAGGGACGCTTCGAACGGGGCTCCTGGCATCGCTACGAACGGAGCGATCGGACGCTACGAACGGGGCTCCTGGCCGTACTACTAGGAGCAAGTAGCTACTAGTAACAAGAAGCTAATCTGGTTTTATGATAGACTTTCCATTCACTGATCTGATAGACTTTCACAAAACACCACCAGAAACGGGTCACTGGTCTGTGTCGACCAGTCGAAGCAGTCGACCGATGCTGGCGCCGGTCAATTCCTCGTGTTCGCTGTAGGTTTCTGGGTTCCATGGCTGGCACTCTCTGGGCTTCGATGTGGTACAGGCTGTCGGCGGCCGTCCGTGCCGGTCGACGGTGACGGTCGACGGCACTCTCATGGGACGAAGCAGTGGTGTGGTTGGCGGTAGCAGTGGACACCGGACTTGGAGGGATGGATTGTTCGTCGTTTTTCAGTGCACAAACCTTCAAAGACGTTGTCACCATATCGTATTCTTTGCTCCTCGTATTTGAAGAGACTCTCTGAACCATCGAAACATCAACATTTCATTCATTTTTGACTTTTTTTTTGGGTCAGACGACCTGAACCGGGTAGTGAAGGATGTGGCCTACGCATCTCAAGCAGCTATGAAAGCGCTTGGCATGGTATTTTTGATCGTCGAAGGCGCGTTTCACACGCATAGGCGAGCGGAACCGCCGGTCGCAGCACTAAAAATCGCTTCCGCCTCATCTGGATCGGTGCCCACCCCAGAGAGAGAGCCAGCATGCAGATGCAGCGATCGCTCGCTCCGGTGGACTTCTCCAGTCACGAAGTTCTTCTCGATTTCCTTTGCGAACGCCGCAACTGGTCTACCAGATGCAGGCTGGCCACGCCTTAGATGCAGGCGACGAGTTTGAGGTGAAAAACAACAGGACCAGTTGAATACGTATTAATACATATTTATATGAATGTCCTCCACACCTGAACAATGTTACTCCCAAGGCACAAGTAAGGGGGACATATGAATACATCTTCATTGACTCATCCAACTCCACCATGCCATAGCGTACTGCTTGCCGGAACGGCGAGGCAAGCCATGACCGCATGGACCGCATGGACTAATCTGCATGGCAACCCGTGCAACCCGTGCGGCATGGCTGGACCAATCTGCATGTGGGTGATCCTTGGTGATTGATCCTTGGTGATCCAATCTGCTGATGAACCTCGTTACATCAAATGTCGTACCGTACATCATAAAGACAAAACAGAAGCACTTTTTGAACGAAAAGCAGAGCAAAAACACCAGTTTGACATGTTTACACAAGTTAGGCATGCATTGCATTTTTTTGTTTATTCAGATGTTGACCAAAGACGACCCCGCGTGCAGGTCAGCCCTGCTCACGATCGCCGGGGCCTTGACGAAGAGGGCCCGCCCTGTACAAGAGGAGCAGTGCCTGGCAGCACACATCCGAAGAAACTCAGGGCTACCCAACTTGGTGAGAAAGCACCGGTTTTCACTTTGTGGTTAAACAAGCTTCACCGGTGGGGGGCGTTCGGGATGAAGCTTCCACGTCGCATGTATAAAGCGT